CTTCTCGACAAGGGCTGGATTCGCCCTAGTTGCTCGCCATACGGTGCACCTGTTCTCTTCGTCCGGAAGAAGAACAAAGATCTACGGTTATGCATCGACTATCGCAAACTTAATGCACAAACCGTAAAGAACGCCGGCCCTCTCCCTCGGATTGATGATCTCCTTGAGCAGTTAGGCGGCGCGACGTACTTCTCGAAGTTGGACTTGAAGTGAGGTTACTACCAGATTGAAATCCAGCCTCAAGACCGGTACAAGACCGCGTTCAAGACCCGGTACAGGCATTTTGAGTGGGTTGTCATGCCCTTTGGCCTCACCAATGCCCCCGCAACTTTTCAAGCAGCTATGACGACTGAGTTTTCGCGACTTGCTCGATCGCAACGTCCTCATCTACCTCGATGACATCTTGGTCTATAGCAGGACGTTGGACGAGCACATCACACACCTTCGCGCTGTTTTGAATCGTTTGCGACTGGCCAAGTACAAAGCGAACCGCGACAAGTGCGAGTTCGCCAAGCAAGAGCTTGAGTATTTGGGTCACTATGTTACGCCGAAAGGCATTCGTCCCTTAGCGGACAAGATCCAAACCATCGTGGATTGGCCGGAACCCCGTTGTAGGACGGATGTACGCTCTTTCATGGGTTTGGTTGGATACTATCAGCGATTCGTCGAGTCATACTCGAAAGTGGCCGCTCCTTTGTCGAGACTTCAGTCCCCGAAGGTGCCCTTCGAGTTCGACGACGCAGCCCGTGGCGCGTTCACTAAGTTGAAGGCAGCAATGCAAGCCGCACCTGCCCTCCGTATATACGACCCCACCCTACCCACCCAAGTGACTACGGACGCTTCGGGATACGGTATTGGTGCGGTGTTGGAACGGTGTCACGAGGACGGTTGGCATCCGGTTGAGTATTTCTCCCAAAAGGCGCCTCTCGTCAACACTCTCGACGACGCTAGGAAGAAAGAGCTACTTGCGTTCGTCACCGTTCTCAAACGGTGGCGCCACTTTCTTCTCGGTCGTCGGCGTTTTAAATGGAATACGGACAACAATCCGTTGACCTTTTACAAAACGCAGGACACGGTCACTAGCACGGTCGGTCGATGGATGTATTACATCGAGCAGTTCGATTTTGACCCGTGTCACATTCCCGGTCCCGCCAATCGAGCTGCGGACGCCCTCTCACGACGGCCCGACTTTTGTGCCATTGTGACCACGGCATTGGACCTCGATGACGATCTGCAGCCGCATTTCGTCAAAGGCTACAAGTCCGTCCGATCCGACTTACTCTACGCTATATGCAGAGCTCTCATTGGATCACCCGCTGGCTAGCCACTATCGGATTTCCGACGGGTTCCTTCTCCTTCACACGAGAGGAAAGGACTTGTTAGTTGTGCCCCAAGATCGCATCTTACGGACTCGTCTTCTCGACGAATTCCACGACGCACGACTTTCGGCACACCTTGGCGTGAACCGCACATTAGCACGCCTTCGCCAGCGTTTTCACTGGCCCGACGTCCTTCACGACTTCACGAGGTACGTGGAGTCATGTGCAGTTTGCCACCATAACAAGAGTCGATCTCGAGTCCCCTTCGGCGAACTGAAACCGTTGCCGATTCCTCGGGCACCGCGCCTCTCCATTGCTATGGACGTAACAGGCCCGTTCCCCCGCGATCGCCACGGCCATGACGATATTCTCACGGTCGTTGACCATTTGAGCAAGTATGCTCGCTTCCTTCCTTGCAAGTATCATGCTGCAGCACCCGAGCTTGCATGACTCTTGCACACCGGTTGGATTACCAACCAGGGTGTTCCGGAAGACATAGTGAGCGACCGAGATACTCGCTTCATGTCAACCTTTTGGACTTCCCTCATGGTTGAGTCCGGTACGACAATGAAGCCGAGCTCGGCTCGGCGCCCGCAAACGGATGGCCAAACGGAGCGAGCGCACCAGACCGCTCAGATGATGTTGCGTACGCTCATCCGTCCCGACCAGAAAGATTGGGTTGACCGGCTTCCCGACATCGAGTTCGCCTATAACACTTCGGTGCACCCGGCTATCTGCGTCACACCATTCGAGCCACATCATGGTGGAGAGAAAGCACGGATCTTCGCTGATCTCCTTTYGCCACAGGCTGCCGACATAGACGTCCCTTGCTCTCCCGCTTCCGTTCGGAAGTACCGGGACTTGCTGATCAAAGCCCGCGCAAATATGCAAAATGCTCAGATCCGCATGCAGCAGCAGGCTAACCGACGTCGACTTCCATGTCCTTTCCGCGAGGGAGACCTTGTTTGGGTCCTCTCCGAGGAATTTGCGCTCGAGCAGGACGTTTCGTGCAAACTCCTTCCGAAATGGTTCGGACCATGGGAAGTCACTTCTGCCGTTGGAGACGACCCCGCAGGTCCTTTCTTCGTGATCAACATTCCACCGCACCTGACAGTGCATCGGGTCTTCCACGCATCGAAGCTGGCCATCTACACGCCACCTTCAGTTGACGAGTTTCCCGGACGTCGATCACAGGATCCGCCTTCTATGGACGGACATCAGGAAGTGGACCGAGTCATCACGCACCGCAAGTATGGCAACAAGCCAATGCAGTACAAAGTCACATTCAAGCAATGTGCGCCTGACGACACTCGGTGGATCTCTAGTGCAGACTTGCAGACTTCTGCACCCCTTATCTTCGCCAACTATGAGAAGACACGACTTGCCAAGGCAGCAGCGCCAAGGCAGCAGCTCGTCCCACCCGACCCATCCCGGTATCGGACAGACAACTCCGCCCTCGCAAGTAGCTCGGTCTTTTAAGAGGGGGAGTGTGTTACATCTTCGACGCCACACGGGTCCTACCGGACCCGACTTAGGGCTTGAGGCACACATCAGGGCATAAAGGCCCGACCTTGGGGGATAACAGGCCGAAAGGCCACGACTTGGACCAGATTACGCACCAGGCCCAAACGACATTTCGTTTTGGGCCTGGCGGCGCCGTTTGAGGCTGCCGCTCTCTGGTTGGACCTGAATCGCCGATCTGGACGGTTCAGCCCCAACCAAGGCCTCGCAGCATTGAGGCCGGTCCTCTTCGAACCAGTACTTAGTACTGGTCCGGCCTCACTTCGAGGCCATCGACCTACCGACATTCTACCGGTGCGGTATGGTACAGCGCGAAACAGCGCTGGCGCTATGTTTAGCGCAGGAGCGAGGAGCAGTGCAGCGCAGCATTAGCGCAGCAGCAGCGGCGACTGAGTGTATCGGCGGCCATAGCCGCCTGAGGTATCGGGAGTTGGAGGCTTCTCTCCTCCCTCCCATCGCCAGTCCCCTCTCTCTCTCTCCCCTCCTCGGCTCCCTTCTTCTTCTTCTCCTCAGATTCCATCTTCTTCTC